GTGATAATGCTGCTCTTGAGATAAACCTCGCAAACCCCTCTCCAGACTTTCAAAAAAATAGATGAACCCTGCCGTGGGGGACTGCGGACAAGTATTTGGTACACGTACTCGGCTTTCCGCGACCCGGGAAGTCTCAGCCGCCCCTCACCTCATGGACAGATGCTGGAGCTGCGAACAGCCGGAAGTTGACAAGGCTGTCGCCAGGGCCGCCACCCCGCGCGGCCCCACCTTACACCCGGGCCCTCCGATCACTAGCGTGGTGAGCCTAGGCAACCAGCCACATCGCACCGCCGAGCTGAGCTCCGACAACCCCCCATCGCCGATCGGAGACTCGCCCAGCAACAAAATGTGTTCGAGGCCATTGGCGTAAAGACACCCTGTAGGATGTTTTATTAGTCTCTCTTTTTCCTCTCCGTGTGTTAGGTTCAGATCAACTTGTCCCCTTCTTACTCCAGCCGCCATGCCTTTGACGTCGTCAGTCTCTTGTTGGGGTTCATCTCTGGGCGGGGAGGCGGCGGGCATCGGCTTCCCCATCCGCGAGAAGAGACGACGGGCGCTGGCTGAGTCGAACGAAGGGCTGCTCACGATCAGCGTCGAACACGCCAGCGCGCGGTGGAAGGCTCCTTCCGGGGCTACGGTCGCCGGCACCCAACGTGGGGGTTGCAGGAGCGGGAGCGCCGACACCGGCGAAGCCGGCAACTCATCGAACGCCGGCGGCCGACCGCCCCCGTGTTGATCCGACAAGCAATCGCCTAGATCCACCTCGTTTTGTTCCGACCCCATGCGGGCAAGGTCCTCTCGGCAGGCCGAGGAAGCTACCGCGGTGGCGGATGCTACGAACACCGCATGGTCGTGACCATGGCTACTTCGGGCAACAGCAGCGTCCACGTAAGAACGGGGGCTCTCCTTTTCCTTGCCGAGGTGTGGGGCCAGGAGCGCTGTGTTGTCGTCCGCGCCGTCGTCGGCACAGCGCGAGCCGTACGCATCCTCGCGACTTTCCCACAAGAAGGCCGCGAGGTTCGGCGGGCGGAAACCCTTAGCACAGCTCACATCCATGGGGAGGTTGCGCCGTGTGATAACGCCCAGTTGCACGTTGGGAGGGGCATTGTACCCCCCGAAGGTATCCTTATGCGGCTTACATCCATCCCCGTGCCGGGGCCGCAGCGACGTTGCTGACAGACCACGCTTACCTTCACGGTCGGTGTTGCCTACGCCTTCAGGATCAAGACCTGGCTTAACTCCTTCCTCGCAAGTGTGGGCACCTTCTTCACGACCCCCATCACCACAGTCCCGCTGTTGTCGCAGATCACGAGCGACAGATTCTATCCGTAAGCTCTCCTCGAAGGCCGCAGACAGGGCCCACCGCAACCGGCATCCCCGGAAGAAAGCCTGGAGAGCGGCGATCGCCTCCTTCCGCCTGGAAACCCTGCGGTGCGCGATCAGGGCGCGAGCCGCTCGCTGCACGGCTTCCGCCGACGCGGCCAGCGCTTGAAGCCGGTCCGCAGCGGCCGCTTGGGCGGTCAGGCCCATGGCCTTCGTGTAATTTGTGCCTAGCTTGCTGCAGGATGGGCGACCGGCCCACCAGCGTGCGGGAGTGGGCAAGCGGTAGTGGCGAATACACGAGAGGACCGATACGAGGATGAATCTACGCGAGATTATTTCCGACCGCGACCTAATGTTAGGATAAGGAGCGATTGTACGTGCCTCCAACGAGAAACTGTGCATATGTCGGCTTTTGTTGGAGGGGACACACACGGTGGCGCGTGAATTCGGGCGAGTGTTGCCTCTCCATCGACCCATGCCGCCCTCCGCTCATGCCACACCCAAGATCTCGATCGACGCCTACGCACCACCTGCCTGAGTTCTAGCGCGCTGATAGCGGCCAGTCGTAGGGCGAGGATGAACCCGTGCTTCCTCCACTCCCTCATGAAACGCTGGATGCGAAAAGCGGCGATTTGCTTGGAGACCAAGTCGCGCAGCACGCGGATCACGCGGTGCCCACGCCAGGCCCTTTGGACCCGTAGTGCTGACTGGCTCTCGCGAGTGTACTGAATTTCCATACAAAGAAAGAGCATCGATGGGTCAACGAGGAGCTCCTTTGCGTGCTGTACGGGATTGGAAGGCAGCGCGCGAATGTATGCGTAGGTGTACGCTTGCAAGTTTGCTGTGTTTGTGTTGAGCGGTATTCGAGTGTACCTGGCGGTGCTTTAAGGCAAGACCGGGTGCAGTTCGCCGCCTGATCACATGCAAGAGGAATTGAGAACACTAGTGCCAACGATGGTGGTATTAGCACCAATCAATGAGAAGCACCATCGATGGTGGCAATACATAACATCAACGTGAAGCGAATCTCGTGCTTCAGAACGAAAACAGTGCCTTGAAGGTGGGGATATGAAACGAATCCCGTGCTTCAACAAACAAACCCTAGTCTACGCAGGCAACGGCTCGAATCGCTTCTTTCGGTGGCACAAGTGCGCTAGAATCCCTGGCCTCGATTGTTTTCCGGTGACCCTTGCCTGGCAACGCGCGTCTACGCTGTGCAGCGCCATGAGCCTCGGACAGAGGAGACGCACTGCCTTTCCGAAAGGATCGAGATCTCGGGCCTCCTCGGCGGCAGAGTGCGCGTCGCCGAAGCGTCCCTGCCGTGAAAGTGATGGGGGGCCGAAGATGTAGAAGATATTCAAGATCAGGCGATATTTCGTCGGCAGCAACGATAGATTTCTTGCACTTCCTGTGGAATAGAGAGCGAGAAAAATCGCGCGTGCGTGCGGTCCGTCTCGTGCTTTGGCACCGTATATTGAGCGACCCGGCAAGGAAATTAGCGTATCTCGAGTAGGTCGTTCTAAGCAATTCTACGCCCCCGGCTCACTAGTTGAAAGAAGGCCTCCGCCCTGAGAAGGTGCAGCTGCGCGAGGCCGAACTGTCGAGGGGTTGTAAGTAGAGGTTCTCCGGGGTGTCTTCGCCGGCGCATGTAAATCGGCAGGTGTTTCTCCTGGGAAGGAGTTGCACAGTCGTCGTTTGCGTGTCAGTTGCTTACATCTACACTCATCTTCATGGTTCCCGGACGCCACGACACCCACGGGAAAGTTCGGTTAAATACGACCAATTTGATGGTCTGACGTGTTAGGTGCTTCAGTTACACGTGCGGAACATTTGACAGCAATATTTGCTACTGTAGAGCGACCAGTCACATCTGATGGCTTGTTAGACTTATTCTAGAGTCCGGAGATGAAGCTGCATTTTGGCCGTTTTTCAATCCCTGAACCTGTCCACTTTGTGCTCGCTGCATGTACTTGTTTTTCTATTTTGCCAAACCAAACGGGGCGTGTTGGCCGTTTCAAAGGAGAGTCCCGGAATCAAGTGTCGCGAATAAACGGCCGGTGAAGGACCGGTCTCGCATCCCAGTGCGAAGTACGCCGCGAGCTGTGCCGTGCTGCTCCTTGTTCTAGCCTTGAAATACACCAAGAAAATGGGGATAGAAGATGAACCAAAACGATTTGGCCGCCTTTTCCTCTTAAGGCTTACCTTTTCCTGCTGGAGGAGGCCGGAAGGGAGCAAGGCGACGGCCTTAGCCAAGAAGGCTAGAGTAAGCGCGTAGCAGCCGCCCTCCAGGACAACCTCCCCGTAATTGAACCACGTGTAGGGGTTCTGCACCGGGGGTGCAGAAGAATCAGACGTATATGCGTGTGAGACACGTCCGTGCCGCTTTTAACCACGGACTGGTCGGTGGGTGTCCACTACCGTGGGGTGCGTGGCTGAAGGCCGATCCTCTCAGTTTCGTTCGGCACATGAGTTGGCAGCAGTGGTGACGGCGGTGGCCGCGACAGCCCTTGCTTGCCCAGACCCAACTTGCGCACGGCATGCCTACCTGGTACATAAAACATGGTGTGAATGTGGCTCCCAGCACCACAACTTGACCTGCACCAGGTCGGCTATGCGCGTGTGATCACGACTAACGTTAACCTCACCTGCTCATGCTCCTCGTTGAGGTTTCTACTGCCTTCGTGCAACGGTTTCTTCAGATTGTGACCGCAGATTTCACATCTCTAAGGGCAGTGGTGCAGTACTCAATTATCTACTCCTTGACAACGCAAGGGTGGCGAGGACACGAAACAAACAAGATGTATCGCTATGTCGTCGTCGACCACAACTGTTTTCCGCTTCCAAAGTCTCCGCTTCAAGCATCTTACCTTGCACCACAGCTCGAACCCGAGCGCCCGAGCCTTTGCTGCATCCACGATGGTCTTATTCTTCGTCACACCACCGCTGCTATCGCCGTGGTCCCCTCGCCCCCCTCCTATCCCCAAAGAGCTGGTTATTGAATGCAGGAAGTATAGAGCGTACATGGCAGCTGCTTTTGGTCCGATTGGGTCGTGACTAGTTGTATACGGTGGCCACGAGCCGCTTGCTCAAAGACAAAGAAAGAGAGAGAAATTTCCTGTGAAGACCGCCAGGTGTTAGTTGCAAGGCTTGCTAACATCACTTTGTGTCAGGCTTATCACCACGCCGATGGCCTGGCCATGACGTATGCGCCGCTGATGCGGAGCTGCCTTGCTTTGCCAGCTGTCGTTAGGCAGAACTACGCGTAACACCAAAATCTAGCGCTATAACGCCAAAACCCACGACCTGACCTGGAGTCTGCGGTTGATGGAAGCGAGGGCTGCACCCCGCCGCGGCCACCCCCAACTCCTTGTTGGTCTGGTTGTTGTCCGGAAGATGGTGGACGACGTTCGGTAGGGCTGGTCCCCTTGCTAAGGAAGGGTGAACAACGCAAAGTCGGTTGCCAGCTTGATTGGACAAGGAGGGAAGTTTGTCCACCGCGCGCAAAGAGGCGAAAGCTGGCCGGAGTTCTCCCTAACCCAAGGTGGAATTTGGAATGTGAGTGTCTGCAGAGCTACAAGGCTGTTTGTTGGGAACTGCCTAAGGAGAGAAGGCGTGGACGCTGGAGACGGAGGTCAATATGAAACACGCTCGAGTGTCCAGTAGCGACCAAGAATGCTTCCCCTGAACAACAACGGAGGGGGAAGAAGAACCGCCAACTCTTCTCGTGCCGAAAATACCCTTACAGTTCGCACCCCGAGTGTTGTATTGTTGTCGTTGTCCTTGACGTGCCGTTAGCGCTGGTGTTGTTGTCCTGAAAAGGTGTCGCGATTCGTTCAACAGGGGGCAAACACAGGCTGCTACAAAGTAATACATCGTTTGCCCCAACATGCTGCGCGTTTCCCTGACCCCCCTCCAACAGCGGCGATTGCCTACCTTCTCTGCAACTGCTGCTCGGGGGTGCTATCCCGCGATCGACCCCCCGCCGCGGACGTGCTCCTGCTGCTGGCAGCGAGAGCCAGCTGAGCCTGCCTAAGAATCGCACCGATCTCATCGACGCGGACGACTCCCACCTCCTTTCCCCCACCGCTCTTTGCGGTCTTTGCGAAAACGGCTCCATAACCTGTTCTGGTTTTCGAGGGGTCGCCGGTTGTGGTAGGCGGCGGAGGTTTCTGACCCGCCGGTGCTGCGGATGCATGGCGTTGCTCGAGCAGGGTGTTCCACGCTTGTCGGTACGCTTCGGCGGCCATCTTATCCTGGCGCAGGGTCTCGAAGCAGAGGCCCATCTGGCATTTTCAGTTGTGTCCGTTTGTTTTTTTTTGTTTCGAGTTTTGTGATTTTCGTGTCGTCGCCATGGCGTCGGGAAGGGGCAGAGAAATACTAGTTTCGTCAAGGTATTCTGTAAGGAACGGACGACAGGCACACGTGGGAGATGGCTTACTACTTGAGGACGCTGCTTGATCCCCGGATAACGTACAGCATTGGGTGTCACACTCCTTCGGATGCGATAGCGATGGGGTTCTGATTCGAACAACGAATATCTGGTGCGGGACGCTAACTTTGTCAGTCTTGCCTGCAAGAAAATGCTTTCCCCGCCTAGGACGTAGCTGGCGACGGGGAGGTCAACCTCCGCACGGTCACCCTCAATTACCGGCACGCTGCCGTGCCCGTCGTTCTCGGTGTCCACCAGAAGAGCCTGTTCTAAACGACAACACAAGCGCAATGGGTGTGATGTTTGGAATTAAAAACTCTCCTCCGCGTTCTCTGTACTCTGGATTCAATTTCGGTGAAACTGCACTCGATGGCAGCGTGAGCCAAAGTGGGTGAGAATTGCCTCGTTCGACAAAGCGCCCGTGTAGTACTCGAACCGGCACCACCATCAGCAAGGATACGTAGCGCAGGGGAGGGTGAACGTCCTCCGAGCACAACAGCGCATGCACCATAATTTCCCATGTCTTCTAGACCCGTCTTTTTACAATACCTTGTAAAAACCAAGGGCCTGTGAAGCCTGTCCCCGCGTCAGTAGAGTCTGCGCGCAAGTCTCCTTTGCAAGCACGGCCTCCCTAGATTGCTGTATGGGCGAAACAACAACATTCGGGGCGTCAGAACGCTCCCAATGTAGGTAACAACCGTATAGGTCCTGCTGTTGCTCCAAAAATCGTATTGGCCCTGTCGTTGTTTCAATGACCGGGCCACGGGACCGGGTACATGTGGTGGCTGTCAAAACCGACCAGGTATTCCTCAAGAACAGCAGTACCTACACGTTGCTTCGGAAGCTTGTATTCTTTCAAATCTCTATTGAAATTTTTACCGGCCATCGAAGCAACACTGTTGACAGAGCGTTGGCCGCTCTCTGCGTCTCGTTCAGCTTGAGGTACACGGACGTAACCTGCCCGCAAAAAAGAGCCGATTGAGAAGGGAAAAGTGAGGCGAGAGGGCCACGGGTGCCTTCCTTATTCTCTCCGCGGAAAACGTGCGACCAACACATATCATGAAGCACCTGTTCTACCGATTGATGTTGCTTTATCGTTGTTGAGATCATCATTCTCAGTCCATTTACGGCAAGCGGGGAGGTTGGATGAACTAGACGTGTGTCTACCACTTGAATGACGGTCGTGTACTCGCATCCTTCGAATGAACATGTTGTTGAATTGTGCATATTTCTGACTGGGTAGGGTAAGCCTATTGAATGTCATCGAGTCACGAACCTCTTCGCCAATTGAATGGCCCAGGGCCCTGGGATGGGCGGCGGGATGTTGCATTATTTGATGCAAATAATGTCCCGAATCTTCTGCTCCCCTCTCTTTGACTACACATCGTAGTTTAGTCTTGGGGGTGGGGACCCATCATACTGGGGCGGTACGCGTGAATCTCGGCCAATTCCAGGCAAGAGTGGATTGAAAAAACAAGAACGGGACTGTGTACAGAGTACCCGCAGTAGAGAGGCAAACAAGGTAAGTTGAACACATCCAACGCCCAAGGTGTAGCATCACCTAAGCAGTGCTTGAAAACGCTTCTGCATAGAATCAAAGGAAGGAACATATGTTGTTCGCTTGCACCTCGAGGTAGTGTATGGCCTCAGACGCAACTCGCACGAACTTCATCGCCTCGCTGTATGAAGCGAGGGCGGAGCGCAGGTGCCGTTCAGCGCTGGCGGAGTCGGCCTTCTCCCTGCGCACGTGCATTCGGGCCAGGCGCAGCTGCATGCTGCCGTCCTCTTCATGACCGAGCTCGAGGGCCCGCTCGATGGAGGCCTCGGCTTCGTCGTACAACCCAAGATAGTACGCCAGGTGCGCTGTGATTTGTCGAAATATGGGCATGCCGCTTATAAGGACTGCGAAGCGTTCGCGAGTAAAGAAAGGCAACATGATGCCGACGAGGCAAGATAGAACACCTTTTCGCTATAAGAAATAAACGGTAGTGTTATATACGACACCGGTGTCGTACTTCCTTATATACGACACCTACCATTTCTTGGTCCACAGGGCTCCAATCGGCGTACAACAAAATGCGCTGTGTAGCCACGGCCCGCAGCTATCAGCCCATACCATTTTGGGTCAAATCGGCCAAGTGGTTGAAGAGTATATAAGCTTATCTACGACACCGCCCTTGGGGACACCGTCCAGCCGGGTGTAGGCGTACCATGGCACTGACTGGGTGGATTTCGCCCCACAGCGGCTTGAACGATAGCTCTGGCCTGTACCTACTCATCGCGAGTTTACGTGCGGTCAGGCGATGTCTGTGCAAGGAGTTATGACCGGAACGTCGCTAACACCCCCCCGGTAAGTTGCGGAGCCCCCTATTTTCGGCTCTTTCTCCGCAACCACTTGGCCGATTTGACCCAAAATGGTATGGGCTGATAGCTGCGGGCCGTGGCTACACAGCGCATTTTGTTGTACGCCGATTGGAGCCCTGTGGGCCAAGAAATGGTAGGTGTCGTATATAAGGAAGTACGACACCGGTGTCGTATATAACATTTTCAATAAATAAAGGCAAGAACCGCAGAGGTACCCAGCTGGTACGTCCGTCCGTTGACATACACAACAACACGTGCTTTCCAAAACGAATGAATCGAAGTAGCACGCAACAAGATCCTAGACTTGAGGGGGGGGTACAGAAACACGACAAAAGCGCAGATCATTACGCACGAGAGTGAATGTACATGTAGTACTAGCTGTAGGCATACGCAACACACAGCAGAACAGACTAGTCTACTGCGCGGCACCATTTTCCAGCATTTTACATCTAAATATCACCTTGCACCAGACAGACCGTATCATGTCGTATGCGGCACATACACCAGAACCCCACGGAAACAAACACTTCTACCAACGCATAGTCCAGAACGACAGCACGGCTGACATGATTCAGTCATAACCTATGTATTGAGCAAGTTCATGTTTAGACTACTTGTATTATTTTTGAATCCAGAGTCCAAACGTCTGACACCACCTGACGGTCTGTGTTTCCCGTACCGAGTTGGACCGTAGACTTTAGGTTGTTTGGTCGATCCTCCAGGCGCGCCCGGAGAGTTTCGAGCCGTATCTCGTCTTCGAGCATGATGCCCATAAGGCAAGGCATAAAAAGGAGCAGGTCTGTCGTGTCTTCACTGCCAGAGAGAGCGATGAAGCGTGAGAACCGAAGGAAATGGTTCGTGTTTCGTCGTACCTGGAAAGAGCAAACAAGAAAAAGTGAAACGTTCCAAAACGAAGGGGTGAGGGTCCATATACCCTGTGGAGCCTCAGCTGCGAGCCCCCCGCCCGCGGAGTAAGGCGTCTCTCGAAATCCACTCTCCCTGAGACACACGTTGCTGTGCCTGTTGCAGAGGAACAACTCTCAGGATTTTAGGTTGTGCAACACTGCGGGAAGGATATCGATAGGTAGTGAAGTGGGCTGGCGATTCTGAGAGGAGGAGAGGAAGGGCAGGAAACAAGGGCTCTCTGGTGTTCCTTAGCAGCAGCAGAGGCAGCGATAGTCGTGTTCCACCATGGCGTCGAGGTGAGCTTTCGGCAGAGAGAGTTTCCTAGAGAGCATTGCGTTGGTGGCAATGGGCTAGGGTAGCTGGAGTTCATGACTCGCGATCGAATCGACAACAAAACAGAGAAAGGGAAGAGTGGGAGAGAGGAGAGGTGTCGGATGGATGTTTTTTTTTCTACTGGGATCGATCCATGGGCTACACACGGCTTTCGATTCGCCAAGCTCTCTGTACCCTTAGGATCAGCTTATCAGTATGTTTACGGCCAGGTCTGCTTCCACTACCGCTCTCCAACAATGTGCGCTGCGGTTGTGGTATGGCCCCTGCTGCGGTGTTGAATACCAGGCAGGATTCGTGTTTGCGTTGTGCGTGTTGGACCTGTCTCGCACTTCTTCTCTGGACTTGTAAAAGATTAAAATGTGTAGGGTACACACAGCAGCAGTGTTTCAGTTAGACAACGGTTAGTGTGCGCGACTCCTCCGAAGACAGGGAAGGGTGCTGTGAGTACACACACGCACATCAGTATGGGTGTGGCTGTGTCACACTAGCTTCCTTGGGGGGATTCATTTTGTCTGCATGGTTGGCGCAGCTTGCATGTTCGGTATCTTTGTGTGCATAGCACACACACGCAGAGAGCTCAGAGCGGGCGCGCTAGCAGACAGCGCCTGCGGAATCGACATCCTTGATGAAACGGCCGTCTAACAGCAGCGCCCGTATATGTTGTGGTTGACCCTCTTTCAAGGAATCCCTGGGATTCCCCTACTCTTCTTCATCAGGGTCTTCCTCCTTTGATTCCCGCTTACCGCATCCCAGCTTGCCAAAATCGCCGCATATGCAGCGCTTCGTAAATCGCCAGCAGCGCGCACGTCCTACACCGCCCCATGTGTTGACTCGCGAAGACATTCTAGTACTCTTATGCTGCTGTCGGTCCGATCATGCCTTCGTCATACTGTACTCCATAGTGCACCGAGCTCGGAGGATCTGCATCGTGGCTCAGGTACGGTTCATGCGACTGCCTTAGTTCCGTTTGGTTGCTGTCGGCCGTACTTGGCTATCAATGCGGCTGATCCTTGCAACGCCCAGCAGGACGGCCCTCCTATGTAGCACTGCTGTAATCGTGCACAATGCATGCTCGTGCCTTTGTTGTTTTTGCTTGCCGCCAGGTATGACCGAGCGATAACGGTGTTCTCGCCGGATGGACACCTCTTCCAGGTGGAGTACGCCATCGAGGCCGTCAAACGGGTGAGTGACTGCACCTTTCATGCAACAGAGAGGGAGAGCTGGGGGGGGGG